AGAAATAACCTCTTCTCCCCCCCCCTGGGCAGATGTCAAATAATCTATCAATCGGCAGAGATATCAAAGAAAAGATCATTCAGTCTCTTCATTTGACAAACAAATTTTCATAACATTTCTTGATTCTGTAGAAAAATAATAGGCCTTTCTAATGCAGCAAGCATTAGATTAATTGATATTGGGTTGATGGAAAAGTTCTTTCCGAAATTTGGGGAGTGTACCTGAAATTTGCCAAGTTTTAACGTTTTATAGCTTATGCTAAAGCTGAATCCAATACAGTTCGATGGGTACAAAAAGCGCCTTGAGATATCTCTTTTCTAAAAGATTTGACAGCTATTTCTGTAAAGTAAAGGGCAGCAGAGCCAAAAAATGGATGTTTCCACGTTTTCAAAAAATGGCTTTTCGTTAGTTTTCCGTGCGAATTTGTTTCTCATTTCTAAATGCTAGTGGAATAATTTATATCATTTATAAATAAATCATTTATAGATAAATCATTTATAGATAAATCAGTATATAAATACTTTATTCAGAAAGAAATAAAGTGCGAAAACGCATTAATAAAATCTATTATATTAGATAATTTGCATATTACTTTGTCTTCTTTATTTCTCTAACTTTAATCGAACGAAAAATGAACCTGAGCTTGAACGAAACTCGAACAATCCCCAGGTCTTTCATCCTCCAATCCTCCATCCAATACATTGGGAATTTCAAAGTCTAGACTCAAAATTGAATCTGTGACAATGCAATAATCTCTTCCTTTTTGCTCATTAGAAGCTTTCCTTTTCTTTCTATCACAAGTCATTCCAGACGTTTTCCTTTAAAATAACACCCCTCTTTTTCTATACTTTCCATTACTGACGTCAAAAAAACAATTGAAATTAATTAAAAATCAAATTTTTGATTAGCTTAGTAATAGTAAAAAAATCCAATGGAAAACCAGTAGATTTTGGCTTTATTCTTTTTACAAGGTAAAATCCACAGGTTTTAAGTGAATGATTTCAAATTTTCAGGACAAGGAGAAGCTATTTAATTTCACGAATTTAAGAGGTGGGTTTTTAGAGCAATTTTAATTTAAAATTTAAAGCAAATTTAAAAAGCAATTATAAGATCTTATAGAGTTTGTATAAGAGATATTTTAAGATTTATTACTTTAAAATATAGACGATTAAAAATGAAACAAGTTTTAGCTTAGTATTTTAAAAGTAAACAAAAATTAAAAATCTTTCAGTGTGTAGAGCAGAAAGATTTTCCACAGAAAAATGGGCTCCTTGTCCTTCGCTTAGAGTGAGTTGTGTGGTGCTAGATATCAGTGGTGCTTCGAAGGGTACCATAGCTTGTTCCGACATTAGTTGAGTAAGATAGATATTTTAAATGTTCCCATTTTAGCCGCATGATCCAATCGATTGGCCTTGTATCAGAGCGGTTGATTTATGTAATGGAAATCGAGATTGTCCAAATGGTGAAGATGAGGAACCGAACATGTGCATGTTTCATTCTTTGGTTCGTTTTACTTTAATGCTAGAACTTTAAACGAATTTCTGTAATGGTAGTCCAGTTAAAAGCCTTTCCTGGTGTTGGAATCCAGTTAAAAGCCTTTAAAGGGGAGATTTATCCATTTAAATTTGTATTTTTATGATTCAAATAGTTAGCTTTAAAGTAAAGAGATTTGATCGAGCTTTCAAGCTTTCAAACTTTCAAAACAACACCCATAAAAAGAATCAAGGCGTCAATTGCAGCTGGACTTTTTGAGATTCAGTGGCGTTACACCGTCGTCAAGTACACCCTCTGAATTCGTGAAAATCAAGTCTGAGCCATATACGGGTGAGTTTTGAAGGTAAAACAACAACGACATTAATGATCAATGATCAATGATTGACAGATTATCAACAAATCTATAAAAAGTCTAACAAAATTATTAAAACCCTAGGGTTTAAGTTAGGTTAGGCTAAGACTCGGCTGCACCAGGAAGAGACAAGCAGCTCAAAGCAGGGCTGGATGGGTCAAGCTAGATCCAGGGCCTGGGTCTAGCTTTGTCTGGTTTACAGGGAAAATCCAGTTAAAAGCCTTTCCTCGTGTTAGAATCCAATTAAATCATTCACTTTAGATAAACTCCAGCTAAACTATCAAAATTTAACTGAAAACATTTACAGAATTCGATTAACGTTTGGAATGATCTCCTGTGCTGTGGCCAGATATCTTTGTCAAGCAATTTTTATTATCATGATAAGCTTTCTGAGTGGTTTGCTCCAATGAAAATTAACAATTAAAATTTTCCAAATTTTTGAAATGGAAGCCCTCAACATTGAAATTTTAGACTCAGTTTTTGAAATTTTCCATTCTCTACAAACACTTGAAGTACTCCGTCCGAATCTCGTTCAAACTTAGTAATAAAATATTTGTTCAATGGTGATTCCCGGGATGATCACCACAAAGCAGAGTGTAATGGAGACATCGCAGGCACCTATTTCTACCGAAGACTCTTTGCGAATCCAAAGTACGGCTAAAAAGTTCTCTTTGTAGGTCAAAATCATGTCCGAAAGTTGCATATAAAATGGGTTTATTTTGTCATAAGCTAGATCTTCTATCTTAACATTTCTCTCTCAGTTTCTACGGCATCGGTGAGCTCTCGGAGGAATCAGTTTGTCACTATTTGACGACGACCGTCGATGATCTATTGGAAGTTATTGCTGATCTATTGGAAAGCAAATGTATCACGTTGGATGAGCTATGTGCCGCGTTGGTACAATATTTCTACAACATAAGTTGGAGTATCTTGCATTTTTGTATTGAAAGTTTAGATGAGGAACATCACGGACAAGCTGAACCAAGATAAGGGACGATTGCGAGTAAGAAGTATTAAAATTTGATAATTTCTGTGTTTTTTCAAATGTTACGACTTTTGAGCACCAAAACTCGTTTTCTTTTCGTTTTTTGTCCATTAAAGTTTTTCTTGCATGTAAAAATAGAAATTCTGACAACTGAAAAATTCGCCTGTCTGGAAAAAAGATATTACACTTCGAAATTTGCTAAACTCGAAGCTACAAGACCCTTGTGCATGACGTGTTCTTTTAAAGTGCTTTCTATTCGATACCCAAAACGCAAAATTTTACTCAAAACGCAAAAATTTTAGAGGGTTTAAATTAAATTTTTCCCTTCATTGAAAATTAGTTCCCTGGAAACAATTCATCTATTGCGTGCAAACTTTAATCTCTTCGTCTTAGGACAGAAATGGAGGGATATATGCTTGGGTTGATAGATTGACGAGTCGTAAATACTGTAATAGTACTACAACCCCAGAATGACAGTGCGGAGTGTTGCGTAGTCTGTGCGGAGTGTTGCGTAGTCTAGCTTTAAAGGAATGTGTATTTTTTGATCATTCTATCCCATTGCATTATCAGACTTGCGTTTTATAGTAAAAGCTATTTTCGGACATCAACGATAATTAAAATTACTATTTTAATCCCCAAATTTCGGTCAAAATACAAAGGAAGACCAAGAGCTCTATGCCGACAAAAACATTGCATTGTGATCCGGTGGAAACCACTAATCAATTCACTTCACCATTTCCCCAAGACGACGGTCAGATAAAGCATTGATATTAATCCAAAACCTCTTTGCTCACCTCTTTTTTGCCCATTGACCAAATATGTTAAACGAACGGCTTTGAAGTTTTGGCTTAGACGACGATGAATATTTGCATATTTTATCCTCTAAAATTTCAGCTGACCGCCTCGTACTAGTGTGCAGACAAGTTGACCTTGCAAGGAAAACCGATTCCCGGAAACAGCTCTTCAGGTGAGGTGTTCAAGAGGGCAATTGGGAAGCCGACCGTGCCGACTTTGAAATGAGTGAGTCTAGGCTCGAGAATTTTTCAGATTTCAAATGATCTAAGCTAGAAGCTTTAGGTGGTTCAGGCCACTCAGGCTCACCCGCCGGACTCCCGGAGGCGCAGCAACAATTCGTCTTCACCTCGTCAGCTCCCTGCTCATCGGAGATGGATCAATTGGTAAACTTGCGCCGGGGATATAAATATAACTATCTGATATACCTAGAAGATTATTATTGTTTGCAGGTACGTGGCTCGTCGGAAGGATCCATTCCCAGTGCCGATAATCCGGATTCCTGCCGTGAAGAGAAGGACATTCACAATAGGAGTGAGTTCATTTCCCATTTCATTCATAATTATGAATCAAATCAGAAGTTTTTCAGAGGTTTTTTTAAAACCTATTAAACGAGTTTTTCAGTTGAACGACGTCGTCGCAAGAATATTAACGACCAAATCAACGAATTAGGGCTTTTGTTGCCTAAAGGAGCCTCCAAGTGAGTTAAAATCAAATTTACAAGAAAAAACGCTAAATATTTACTTCGCGTTGTCACGAGCCGAATTTAGAGAGATGAAGCTGAACAAAGGGACGATCCTCAAAGCATCTTGTGGCTAGATTCGACAATTGCAAAACGATCGAGATGTAAGTGAAAAGCAAAAATGTTCTAAGCAAAGAATAGCTTTCAGGGCCTAATTAAGCAACGGCTGATCGAGTCAGGGTTAGTGAGGGAAATGCTGGGCTTAGCTTGGCTTCCCTATTTATTCAATTTTTTTACAGCACAGTACCTTGGCTTTGAGTTTAAACTATTAGTGTTATGCATTTTCTGAAAGGTCTTTTCAAGGCTTAGCCAATGGTAATATTATTATTTAGTGGCGAATACTAGGGATTTGCAGAGGCGTGAAAGTGACGATCTTTTTCACATATTATATTTCATTGTTCAGTAGTGTAGATACCTGTTAAGCCATCCTTATAAGCGAGCAAATAAAGATTAAGGATACGCATTTTTGGAGGCAAATCTAGGAACTCAAGGAGATCTTGGCGAAGAATGGCCTCAAGGCGCCCACCAAAGTTCTTCCTACACTCCCAGCCCCTGGATCAATCAAACAGGAGATCGAAGAGAGTCCAAATGAAACCCCATGCGGATCACTTGTAAGCGATTGCTCAACTCTTCTCATGACTCCCCTCGAAAAGACACACAATCAATCGGCTCCCGATTGGGTAATAAAAAATCAGCAACTAGTACTAGGTCCCCAAATTTAAGTTCTATATTTTGCTCTTTTTGTTTATTTTTAGTCCTCATCGGGTTTTATGTCACAACTCTCTGACACGACGTCTGCGATGGCGATCGCCTCCCCGCTAGGATGTATTCACCATGGGTCCGATCAATTCTTTGGCTCAAGTCCACAAGGTTATCAGACGCCACAATGGAGGTGGAGAAGTAATAGATATATCAAACAAAACTTTGTCTAAATATATTCTATTGCTTGTTTACAATATTAGATAAAGCCAGTATCAAATGGGAGCAGAGTGGCCAATTTGGTTGCAAAGTAGAAGCTAAAGTATAAGTTTATTGTAGAAGTAGCTACAGTAGTAGAAGTGAAAGTAGAAGCCACGGTGGCTTATCGTAAGAAATTACTGTATCAAATACTTGCCATTTCTATGTCAAATATATCAAGTACAAATAAATACTTGCCATTCTATTAGCTGAATGATCATTCAATATCTTACAGCCCCGACAGTCAAAGGATGCACCACGGGCCATTCCCAGATTTGATCACGGAGTGGTGTCTTGAGGTAGGATTGCGATATAGATAAAACAATATATCATTCTATTTAAATCTAAACCCTAATATCTAAATCCTAAGATCTAAATTCTCATTTAAATATGAAATATCTAATATGCTCTGCATACAGAACAATCCACTTCTCCACTCGGACCCGTTAATGTCACAAGCCCGAGGCCCATCGTCAAACCTTGCCATCAGCCAGATGAGCCATGGCCTCTCGTGGGATCCCACAAATTTCAGGTACGATGAAGAGAAAATGGAGTATGTTGTATGCAATATAGCAACATGCGCTACTTTGCTCCCTAGAAGTCGAAAATCTTGATTAAGCCTTGTTTAGATTATCCTAAGCTACCTGAAGATGAGCACCTACCATTGGCTGTACAGTCAATAGCGTTTAAGTCCAAGGGCACTGTACTGTAGTTAGAGATTCTGTAGCCTTAGAGTACTGTAGTCCGAACCCCAGTGGCCGAATATTTCTTACGCTATGTTTATACAGCATGTTTAGAAGTTGTTTCCAGGGCACTTGGGGGCAAGTCTCCAGCTATTTATATTTAAATTCTACCCTATCTGAATTCCTCAATTTTCAGTCCCGACCCGAACACCGTACCGATGCACGCCAATCACAATATGGACTATTCATGAACTCCGCTTGCCATTTAAACATCCAACAAAGCTTGTACAGCAATGTGTCCAGTTTCATTCAAAGATTTGATACCCATTTTGGCTCCCAATTGTGATTTCGATATAGACACTTTTCTCACATCTTCCCTCTCATTCTCTTCCGCTCTCGATCGCGCCGATGCACGCCAATCACAATATGGACTATTCATAAAGAACTCCGCTTAAATTTAAACATCCAAGAAACGCTTGTACATAAGTGTGTCCAGTTTCATTCAAAGATTTGATACGCATTTTCGTTCGCAATACTAAGCTGCAACTTGTTTCAATTTTAATCGTCTATATTTTAAAGTTAATAAATTTAAAATATCTCTTATACAAACTCTATAAGATCTTATACAAATAAAATAAACTCTCTTATACAAATTGCTTTTTAAATTTGCTTTAAATTTTAAATTAAAATTGCTCTAAAAACTTGGATTTTACCTTGTAAAAAGAATAAAGCCACAATCTACTGGTTTTCCATTGGTTTTTTTTTTTTTTGCTATCACTAATAATTAAAAATTTGATTTTTAATTAATTTCAATTGGTTTTTGACGTCAGTAATGGAAAGTATAGAAAAAGACAGGTGTTGTTTTAAAGCAAAATGTCTGGAATGACTTGTGAGAGAAAAAAGGAAAGCTTTCTAATGAGAAAAAAGGAAGGTTATTTTCTGTTCTATTTTGATACATGCATCTACAGCAAACGATGATCAAATCAAGTACTTTTGTTATAATCATTTTCATTTTCATTTCACTAAAGAAAAAAGTCCCAATTTCTCAATTTCTGTGGAATAGCTAAAGATTCAATAAGAGACGGGTAAAGGGCATAGAAATGAAAAAGAAAACAATTTCAACTAATGAATCGATTGAAACAGCCGCTAGGTCACGAATTTAATTGAAGGCTTCAAAATCGTAAAGCGCAGGCAACTTACCGCTCTTTTTCGAGATTTATTCAAAGTAATTTTCTAGATTTATTTAAAGTGATGTTCAAAGTAAAAGTGGGTAGTTCAAGCAGAGGTTCTTTCATAGATCTCAATCAATATCAATTAAAAAAGGGTAAAGTTGAGTCAATTATTTTCACGAATTTTGCCGATTTTATTGAAATCCTCAAATCTCTTTAGAGAGATAAAGAAATGTATTTAAAGGGGTAAAGAATGATTCAGAAAGTTGAGTCAATTATTTTCACGAATTTTGCCGATTTTATTGAAATCCTCAAATCTCTTTAGAGAGATAAAGAAATGTATTTAAAGGGGTAAAGAATGATTCAGAAAGTCTAAATAAAATACCGAAATTAGCTTTATTCGAAAAAGGTTAAAACACTATCCCAATAAACCCATAAAATATAAATTAACATGTCAATGAGATGCTTGCGATTCGGGGCTAATCGTCTTACTCGCTTGCTGCAGGGAGCCAACCACGACACTTCTTTTCATCGCACCTATAAATTTTTCAAAACAGTAAACCAGAAAATGGAATCATCACTCACCAACATTTGGTCCTTCCTTTCTTTGAGTGCTTTGGCTTAACGGTTGTAGGATAGTAGTTAAGGGTGAGTTCCTCGCCTAAAATTATTCGCTTACCCGGCTCAATATCACGCATGGAGTAGAAACCGATCCGAAAATCGTGTTCGGAATATTTATTCGTGATCACAAGTTTCGCTACCAAATTTGGATTGCGCGAATGATTTATGAATCTGGTTTCATTTCCGAGGCTTGTGGCGTCGATCACCAGGAATTTGTTGTCGAGCTTTGTGATTGCCGTCGAAAGACTGAATTGGTATTTTGTGTGTTGGTTTCGGTTTGGCTTCCGCAAAAGTGATCACCTGAAGGAACTTGATAAATTTAAACTGTGCGCGCTTTTCAAACCTCTCCGACGTATTCACGATTCGGGGCTAATCGTCTTACTCGCTTGCTTCATCGCACCTATAAATTTTTCAAAACAGTAAACCAGAAAATGGAATCATCACTCACCAACATTTGGTTCTCTGAGTTCTTTGGCTTAACGATTAAAGTGATTATAAAGGGTTTTTGATTAAATCTTTGAGTGAAAAAACTGTAAACAAATTTACCTTGTTAAGAAAACATAAGTGAGCACAGCGACGTTGCCAGCCGTTCCGAAAATGAACAAAAAAGCGTAGGGAAGGGAAAATGAGGTGACTTCGGTGCTGTAAACTTGCATTGATGGACCCACCGAATGTACAGAAGTCATCTGAAATTTGATTAAAGAGGGGAAAAGTGAAAGAGATGACAAAAAAGAGGAGAATATGTTAGGAATAAATTAAGAGTAGAATATAAGAGTAGAATATAAGAGGAGAATGTAAGAATATATTAAGAATATAGTTTTCAGAATAAAAATACGATTTATTGATAAATTGTTAAGGAAAAGATAGAAGTTGGCCAGGCAAAAAAGCGGTTCGGCGAGGTTTCTCGCTGTTTTTCCTGCTGGTTCTTAACTCAACGTGGCGCAGCCAGGAGTGTCCTCGTCTAGCACCAACAGGGTCAGAGTTCGAACCCCGGTTGCGATCCGACTTTTGCCTTTGAAAAAAATAAAATATGAGATACAAAACTACTCAGAATTCTAAGCCTAGCACTAAAAATTACGTAAATCGGCTCATGGGAAACCGAGATCCCGCGCGTACAAATGGACGAAGCAAACAATTGATTTTATATATAGATTGTTAAAAAGAAAGGTAGAGTGACTGGCTTGAGAAAGGCAACAAAGAGAGATCAGTTTAGATTTTCCAATCTTTAAAATGCTGTAAATCTTTTAAATTAACGGCAAGCTCGAAAGTCTATGATACGTTTAAAGTACAGGAAGTACAAGAGTTTCCGGTAGGAAATTTTATAAGGAACTTTTGAAGAACAACCACAAGTTGATCGGTTAACTGAAAATGCAGATATGGAGGAAGAGAAAAGAGTGATTAGCTTCCGCGGAACAATAGCACAATTGTTAAAGAAAAAGAGTACTTTTTATTAGATGAGCCCCGATTTTTTCGACGGATTCGAACTCCTCGACTAAAACTACGTCTAGAAAAGTGATCTTAAAAGATTTTTAAAAAAAAGCTAAGGTATTAGACTCTACTTTTTTTTCCTAAAATGATTTTTTTCCAAAATATTTGAAAACACTTTTCTAGACCTAGTTTTAAGGGTAAAATTCAAATCTATCTAAAAAATTCAAAAAAAATAAAAAAGTTGACCTTACAAAAGCACTCTTTTTGCTTAACAATTGCTTTTAAATGAATTGACCCTTTCAGATAAGTAGGTGAACTTTGACCTAAAATTTCTCTATGTTTTTATATTACAGTTTACTAAGCAAGTTATAGTTTTCTATAATCGAATTTCATTAGCTACATTTTAAAACCAACCCCAAGTCGATCCGTCAATTGCAAGTAGAGATATGAGACAAAAGAGAAGAGTAGTCCAACTCAGATTCTCATGCGCGAGTTGTTCATAATTTGGACGAACAATAATCCTTAATAACTTGCGCATGCGCGAGTTATTAAGGATTTTGACTATTTTATGAACAACTCGCGCATGCGCGAGTTGTTATATTTTCATCCTTTTCACACTTTATGGTTCTTATTTAGTTCCTATCTATCTCCTTTAAACCTCCCTCCCGAGAATGCATGGATTCAAGACGGTCAAAGAATCCCGATCTAATCATACGAACGAGCGGTGAATATAGAGAGTCATATTTTATGCTAATTCAGGTATTCTTCACTATTATCTAGAGTGTAAAAACAGCCGTACACATAAAAATCTGAAAAGGGTGCCTAGAGAATGGTTTGGCTGCCAGCCAGACACTTAATGCAGTTAAGAATTCTTTTGTACTTTTGCAGAAATCCAGGTTTGAATCTAGTAGAATGATTCCATGATCTAAAAGATTTCTAATAGGGAAAGATTCCTAAATAGGGACTATAAAGGAGTTTTCAAGGAGCTTTATAGGGGCTTTCTGGGAACTAGACCTTTAAAGAGCTTTCAAGAGAGTTTTGAAGGAGCTGAATAGGAACTAAATAGGTACTATAAAGAAGCCTTCACTCATAGTAGACTGCAATTTCACACTGCAATTTCACACAAATCTCAACAGCTTGACGTGAAGCCAAGACTTCGAGAAGAGTTAAAACTTCACGACTTCTCAAGTCAAAATAGCTCTGCAAAGTCCCGCAGTACGCACAAATTCATTAATACTTTACTAAAATAGCTGTAAAATCTCTTAGAAAAGAGATTTCTCAAGGCGGCTTTTGTACCCATCGATCTGTATTGGATTCAGCTTTAGCATAAGCTATAAAACGTCAAAACTTGACAAATTTAAGGTACACTCCCCAAATTTCGGAAAGAACTTTTCCATCAACCCAATATCAATTAATCTAATGCTTGCTGCATTAGAAAGGCCTATTTTCTACAGAATCAAGAAATGTTATGAAAATTTGTTGTTTAGTATTATTAGTTTAGTTTAGCATTAGTTTAGTATTATAAAGTTTATATTCTATAGTTTTTTATGTAGGCATGAAGTCGGATAGTCAAAAAAAGGCGACAGCGCGAAGACCCAATTTAAGCGTTTTATGATTTACATAAACCTTTTGTTGTCAATGATTGTCAATGTCAATGTCAATGCCAATGTCAATGCCAATGTCAACTATGGCCGAATTTTGAGAATATCTGTTCAACCGATTCCTTTATAGAGGTTTTTATCGAATTTTACAAAGAAATTGGTTTCTTTACACTTAAAGTCACTTGGAAGACTAAAATAGACTAAAATCGGGTTGAAATGATAGAAAAGTGAATGGAAAACATTTCCTATTTAAAGGAATTTGTGCTTTTGTCATTTCAATGTTATAAATGCTAGTAAAACAAGATTACCAAGATTACAAAGATTTATTGATCAAAAGATCATTGTAAGCTAAACTCAGCCACTTAATCATTATCGTCAAACGATTTCTTTAAGATTTAAAACAAACTCGTGGAGCTGCTTCTGTAAAGATGTTGTGTAGAGTGATGAAAAGGATGAAAAATGACACCACAATTCTTTTACCCATTCGATCCTTCTGCAAATTTTTTGTGAATATAGAAGAAAAAAGCTTCGTAAAATAAAGGATTTAAAAAAGTGAGAAATGAGAAAAAGAATGCAAAAGATTTGTGGACGGTGAAAGGAAGGAAAAACAGAAATTTTGATTATATCTTTGGGGAATCTTGTGATCTATTGGAGACTTGACAATGAAGATTTGAAGACAAGAAAATGAGGAAAAGAAAAAGTATGTTTTGATAAGTTACAGCACAAAATAGAAAGCATCATGAGATTTGCAAAGGTTTTTTTCCCAAAAATTCCTGAATGAGCTGAGCATTTCAATTAAAAGAATTAAAATAATTTCCAAAATAAATCTGAGAGATGAAAATTTTTTGAACAAATTATTGATTGATTTACCAGCCTACACTTGATCAAGATTTGAATGTTATTGATTTTCAACAACAAGAAAGAATCTAGCGATTGGGTTTTGCGTTCTTTGCTCAACAAATCAAAGCTTTGTGAACAAATCAAAGCTTTGCTGAACAAATCAAAGCTCTGCTGAACAAATCAAAGCTTCAGAACAAATCAAAGCTCTGCTGAACAAATCAAAGCTTCAGAACAAATCAAAGCTCTGCTGAACAAATCAAAGCTTAGTGAAAGGAAAAAGATTAGTGAAAGGAGTGCTTGGATTGGCGTGAAAATTGAAGGTTGACGTGACGTGAACTTGGATTGACTCTTTTTCGCATTTGTTTTTGATCTAAAGAAAAAATGAGAGGACACCGAAAAAATAGGATACAAACAGACAGATACCACATAGGATATGAAGCTCTCGTGTTGCCCATCGCTGAAGGAAAGCAGGTGACGCGGAGGCAAGAAAAGACACGAATGGGGAAAGGTACGGTAAGCGTTAAATAGTTCAACATTAAGATATTTGAGCTCAAAGTTGGGGTGCAAAAGGGGATGAGTATCGAATAGAATGCACTTTAAAAGAACACGTCATGCACAAGGGTCTTGTAGCTTCGAGTTTAGCAAATTTCGAAGTGTAATATCTTTTTTCCAGTCAGGCGCATTTTTCAGTTGTCAGAATTTCTATTTTTACATGCAAGAAAAACTTTAATAGACAAAAATTTTAAAAAAACGAAAAACCGGCGGAGTTTTGGTGCTCAAAAGTCGTAACATTTGAAAAACACAGAAATTATCAAATTTTAATACTTCTTAATCACAATCGTCCCTGTCTTGGTTCAGCTGGTCCGTGATGTTGCAAAAAACACCATTGAACAAAAAATTTATTAGTAAGTTTGAACGAGATTGGGACGGATTACTTCAAGTGTTTGCAGAGAATGTAAAAAGTAAAAAATGTAAACTTGTTTTTGCTTTAAATTCGATAAAAAGTTATATAAAAGAATTGGTTGAATCAATTCTTCTTCGAAACCCATTCATCGGACACCCCGACGACAGCAATAACTCCAGCCAGGCCACCCATTCATCTGCCAATGCACAGCCCGCAACATGTTCGTTTTTGAAAACATTAATCTCTAATAATATTGAACTCTCGCCTTTCATGGTGATCTTTTTCTTCAATCTTTCTCGGTTCAAATTCTCTCGCCCTTGATATCTTTTATACGTTTTATAGCAATAAAGATCTTCTATTTGAAGCAAACTATTAATCAATTCATAAGCTTAAAAAACAGATTTACGACAAAGTGTCCAAAGAATTTTCGGCTAACTTTTGGACTAACAAAAAGTCCCCAATTAATAGCAAACATTAGAACCGGACTGTTGCTAGGCAGCCAGGTAAATTGCGTTACTGTCTTTCTCTTTTTAAGCTTGCACCTTGGATAATTTTTTGTTTAGCATATCACCAAAAATCGCCACTCTGAGGATGCTGTGAAAACTTTAAAGAATATTCGTCCGAACGATCTTGGCTGCAACAAAGCTTGCGAATGCAAGGGTGCAATTAATTGCTGTGCCTCGGTATCATGAAAACTATTTTTCTTACTTTTCCTTTAGCATCATGTTGCACAAAGTTACAAAAGTGGAACAAAAAAAGGCCATCCGGAAACTCAACTCGGCAAACTCTAGTTGTGACGTAGTAGTTGAGTGTGGAGAGCATTGCAAATGTGATCCCATAACTTGTCGTCAACGAGTGCTGCAGGTTGTTGTTTATGTAAATTAGCAATGAAGTGTTTTTGGAAAAATTTCTTCTATTTTTGGGAAACTTGGGTAATTAAACGGGGTCCCACTTGCAAAAAAGTTACCCCCAACCTCCATGTGCCAGACGATGCTTTTTTGAAGGGAAGATGATTCGGACCCATAGCATTTTAGGTGCATTTTAGCTTTTCAGAAAATTAAGGCCCTCTTGTTTGCTAAAAGCGGACAAGAGTTTTAGATTGGCTAAGCCAGGGGATTTGACATTTAATACATGACTTTTCAGTAAAATAATTTTAAGGCATCCCCGAACTTTGTTGTTGGCGCATTGTTGATGGTTTTCGAACAAATAACATTCTTGTCTGAGGATGCCTTTTTACTACCATGAAGCCGTTGGCATTGACGGATATTGCCCTAGGGCGCGAGATTTATTTAGAACGCTTGAAATTGGCAAGGACGAGAGACAGGGACCAAAAAGGGGTATAAATGCTAATAGATTTTACTTTTCGCTTTAAGACTGCGATTTACGATTACGAGCAGTGAGGCTTTTATGCGGATTTTATGAAGTAAATAAAAAGATCAAATTTCAAAAATCAAAAAATTCTATTTTAAAATTAATAATTTTTATATTTTCCATCATGGTTTCTGTGTTTGATAACCAACCAAAGTGCTTGGCTTCGGTTTTCTTAGAATCTTTGAATACATCTTTTTGTCTTTTGTGTCATCACTTTTTTGAAATTTTCAAGAGTTATTCTAATATCGATAATAGAATCAGTAAATAGCCAATTCAATGTAAAAATAGAATGACATCAAAATGTATTTATTTTTCCTGAAAGCAATGCTTGCTTTAGTATTCAAAATATGCTATAAATACTCCAAAGAAATCTATTATGAATGAAACTTGTCTTCTTTTTTGCCAAAAACGTTCTTCAAAAACTTCAAAGCCAACAGCTTTTTCTATAAGATTTCAGAGAAGAAAACTGAACAAGAAAACGATCAGCTAGGGAAAATGAATTGGATTCAATTTGTCGACTCTTTTTTATAAACTTTTTGTGAAAATTGGAAAGCGATTAGGAGTGAGTGGGAAAATAGTCATGAACTAGGAGGAAAGACTGCAAAATGAACGTGTTTTGCAAGAGAGGGTAAAATATTTATCAAATTTACCTATAATTCAAGAAGTTATTATAGAAATTGTTGATGGGATTCGAAGCAACTTGTGTTTAACCTTTTGATTTAAAGCTTATGTACTTAACTAAACATTTCAGTCAGTTATTCTGTCATACAATTTCTCTAAATTTGCCAGAAAACTGGGAAAGTTGGGTTTACCAATTTCTGAACAATTTCTCTACTTTGTACGTGATCTTCATTGCAATTAAATCTATATAAACTTACCTTAAATCTACTTTTTCCTGGCAACTCCTTTACTTTTTTATTAATCAAATGATCCTTATTATCTTTTCTAATTTTAAACATCGATTGTACTCAACTCTACCATTACATAAACTTTCCTAATCAACTTTTCCTAAGCGATCTCTTGAAAGCCATTTATTGGAATTTCCCTTGGTTTCATTTCTTCATTTCATTCGTTTCGTTCAACGAATCGATCAGAGCAGAGAGGGGTCAGTTAAAAAGAAAAACAAAAGAAAAAAAAGAAAAAAGAGTGGGCAGACAATTTCCCTTGGTTTTCCAAAAAAATAGAGTGGGCAGACATCGAAAAAATGAGGGAAAAGGCGAAAAATGGCAAGGAAATGTCTCTCTTTTCCCCTCCTTTCCACCTTTGATCTTTCCCTCCATTTCGATGATTGTAATCAATTCCAGGGACTGCATTTTTTGACCATTCCATCCCATTCCATTTCCCTTTCAATTTAGAGTAAAAGAAAGAACCGAAGTTTTAGATTTTAAATCTAAGAAAATTGATGCCATTGGGTATTGTATAAATCATTTTGGTCAGTTAGTCAATCATAAGAGATTAGATAGACTGAAAGAGATAATAAAGTCATGAGTCAATGGAAATCCTCCATTTCGATGATTGTAATCAATCGATCTTTTGTGATAATAGTTCGAAAGAGAACAATAATTGAATGGAAGATGGTAAATTGAGCAATTTTGCATTATTGATTGGGTTTAAGCAGAAAAAACATGTGCGACCAAATGTTGACCTCGTCAAGCATGCAGCGATTACATTTTTATGAATGCCACATCCCTAATTCATTCAATTTTAGATCTTGATGCTGGAAGCTGAATTAAGAACTCAAAGGATGAATGGGAACATTCCTTGCACGAATGGGAAATTGAATGGAGAATGGGAAATTGAGCAATTTTGAAAAATAGGGAAAGAGAGCAGATTTTGAAGAGGTTATTTCTGCCAACGGCTCTGCCAATAGTTCACAATAATTGAATGGAAAATGGGAAATTGAGCTATTTTGAATTATTGATTGGGTTTGTTGGCAGAAAAAATACGTGCGACCAAATGTTGACCTCGTCAAGCATACAGCGATACATTTTTATGAATGCCACATCCCTAATTCATTCAATTTTAGATCTTGATGCGGGAGGCTCAATTAAGGACTCAAAGGATCAATGGGAATATTCCTTGCGTGCAAGGAATGTTCCCATTACAGAAGAGTTAAAACTTCACGACTTCTCAAGTCAAAATAGCTCTGCAAAGTCCCGCAGTAGGCACAAATTCATTTAGAAGTAGCGTGGTGAAAAGCTACCATATAAATGGTTGAGCACTCCTTTTCAGATATCGATGAATGTCAAACGGAAAACGCTGGCTGTTCTCAATTATGTGTGAACACTGCTGGTAGTTTCCATCGTGAATGCAAACCGGGTTTCATGCTCACTTACGATGGGAAAACTTGTGAAGGTAATGCAAGATGCACTTATTGCGATTTCAAATCTTACTTTAGATATCATGAGTGCGTGAACAACAATGCTGGATGTAAATTCGAGTGCCGAAATAGGGATGGGGATTATGAATGCATTTGTGAAAAGGTTTTGGTTTTTTCAAAGATTTTCAAAAATTGACCGCTTCAAAGGAATGCTTTTTTCAACATAAACAGCTAACAATGAAAAGGAATAACTTGAAATCTTTGGGGAAGGGGCTGCCAAACGTGGCCCAGTGGTAAGTTGCTACGCTACAAGGTGGGCGAGCTGGCTTAGACCATTCTAACTTCTAATACCTTCTAGAACTAATCTAATACTTAGACTTCTAATACCATTTTTAGTTTGCTTCTAATACTTCTTTGCTTCGGTTCAGTTCTTTTTTGGTCTTATTACTCTCTTTTGTAAACCAAAACCAATTTTAAATTTATAAATCGTAAGATCACATGATAAATTCAGATGTGAACGAATGTCTGGCAAATAATGGTGGATGTTCTCAGTTGTGCCGAAATGTGAATGGTGGTCATCGATGCGAGTGTTTCAGTGGCTATCTATTAAAAAATGATGGAAAAATGTTCTTGGTAAGGAAAAAAAGAATTAAAAAGAAAAGGAGAATTTCAGCGGCCATTGAAGGCAATAATGTTCAATTAATGAATCGTAAGTGATTCAATCAGAACCTTGGGTTTTAGTCAGGTTTTAGTTTTTTTCATTAATTGTTGTATAGGAACTAGATGAAAAATGAATTTTTGAGCTATTTTTAACATAAAAGACTGAGTCCCTTTTGTGGAATAAAAGCTCTTCTGTTTATAATATCCAGCTAAAAGCTATATTTGCCAGACATGCCTCAAATGTTCTCTAGTTTTTGGAAATTCTATAGTTCTTCTTTTTCTCTCGGGTTTGTTATTTTCTTTTGTTTTATAAATTTTGATATCATATAATTTTTCTGAATTTCGTACTTTTCAACTGTTGTTATAAAGGGGCTTTCTAGGAACTAGATAGAGACTATAAAGGAGCTTTAAAGGGAGCCTTTAAGGAGTTAGTTAGGAACTAAATAAGGATGAGGATAAACGAGCCAGGGAGCTTTAAATCCCTCTCTACCCTCTCTTCCCTTCCCTACTTCCCTAATTCCAATTAATGCATTGCATTATTTTCTTTATTTCACAAACGACTTGTGCAGACGACTTGTGTGCAAGTGTGTCCAGTTTCATTCAAGATTCAATAACCATTTTCGGTTCCAATTCTGATTTCTATATATAGGCACTAGCTTGTCTGCTCTCCTTCCCCAATCCCAATTTTTGTGAAATAAAACTCAAAGATAACTGCACAACCCAAATCCAACGAGCACATCAATTTCTATTAGGTTTTTATTTTATCACATACTTGAATATTGACGCTTGCTAATCGAAAGTTGAAGGCCTAAAAAGCGGAAAACTAACTTGAAAAATTAAAAATTATACCTTTTCGTTATTCAGAGTTGGCATTTAGCAGCGATCCCGGTTCACAGATGAAAACTACGCGCCATTTGGGAAGGAAAATGGGTATCAAATCTTTGAAGGAAACTGGACACAATTATGTACAAGCGTTTGTTTGATGTTTAAATCGCAAGCGGAGTTTTTTAGGAATAGTCCGGATTGTGATTGGCGTGCATCGGTGCGGTGTTCTGGTCTCTTTCAGGTAAAAGCTCTGCGCTATTTACATTCGAAAAACTTGTGTTCATAATTAATTATGAGATCTGGAGAAATGAATCAAAATTATGAGATGGAGAATGCTCGCCCGATGCGCGCCCGGTTTTGTTGGAGCCGATTGCTTACGGAGCAGGAGAGCTGTTTTTAGAATTCAACTATTATTTGTAGAGCACTAGTTTTAGACGTAGATTGACTCTTTTAAGTTCTCACTTTTCACTTGTAGGGTGCATTCCCGGTCGAGGAGCGTAAACATGGAGCGATTTGTGACTCAAAGAATGGAACCTGTGAATGTCCACCTGGATATTACGGAGCAACTTGCTCGGAAGGTGGCTTCTCGTTTTATAATAATTTGTAAGCAAACTATAATTCAACCATTTCTTTTAGTTTGCCCCGCAGGCCGTTACGGGCGAGAGTGCATGCGCATTTGCAATTGTCACAATGGGGCCAAGTGTAGTCCAGTAGATGGAAGGTAATCTTTCACAGATGTTATTAAGAATTTATCGAATCAATTGCGTAAAAATGTGAACATATGTGAACATAAGGAAATTAGTAAATCTATTATCAAAAACTCCATTATAAGTCGCATAGTACAGTGTCTTTGAAAACAAATCCCAGCTGCACGTGTCAACACGGTTATACCGGGAAAAGCTGTGAGATTGGCTTTCCTCGGGGTACTTTTGGAGACAATTGCTCAAAGGTGATCTATCTAAATCCATTTATGATTTCCCAAAACAATTTCAAAATATTCAGGCTAGCCAACCTATAAAACAACAATATTCTAGCAATGTGAATGTGCCGATCATATGACGTGTGGTCGTGTGATCCAGTGGACGGGGAGTGCATTTGCCCGCCCGGGAAAAGAGGACAAGATTGCTCTGGTATAATTTAAATCTGAAAAGAATATCTAGCCAAATATCTAATGTCTATGCTTTATATTCAAGACTTTATGACTAAAAATCTCTTCAGAAAACTGCTTTAAAGCTGCTTTATTTGTTGTCAACAAGAACAAATGGCATCTTTCTACCCCTTTATATCTTTCTATCTTTCTATATCTTTCTAACTTTCTATCTTTCTATCTTTCTATCTTTCCATATCTTTCTAATCGATTCCCTAAGAAAGATAATCTTGAAAGATAATCTTGAAAGATAATCTTGAAAAATAAGCAATGGCAGCTTATAATTTTAATAATCCTTTCATTTAAACAGCTAAAACTTTCCGAACAAATGTATTTCTATATATTTCTATCTTTCTATCTTTAGATGTTCACTGTGAACCACAAAGGCGCCTGGTTGTCAACTGTGAACTAATGGCGCATAGGTGTCCACTGTGAACAATAATAACGCCTAGATGTCAACTGTGAAAAGCAAAGGCGCCTAGTCGTCAACTATGAGCTAGACTAACCAATACTAAAAAAATTGTCCCGAATCGGCCCTGAATGGGTACAAAATCGGAACCAAATATGAACCGGATGGGAACTAAATGGGAAGTAAATGGGAACCGAATGGGAGCCAAATGAGAAAAGAATGGAAACCAAAGAACCGGATGGGAACCAAATGAGGATTGAATTTGAAGCAAATTGTTTGGGTTTTATTTGCCGTCAGGAGTGGAGACGCATCCATTCTGACACTGATACTTTGAAAACTCCCAAAATATCCAAGTTAGAAGGAGTTGATAGAAAATAGATGGAAATTTATAAAACATAAATTTTCTAAATTTCCATAGGCTAAAAATCTTTTAAACGTTTGGTTTTGCATGATAATTGAGACCGAAATGTAAATTTTGATGAGTTATGCATGTAAAGAAAAATATTATAAAACTTCTTTTAGCACAAAATTTTGAAATAATATTGTTCTTATAAGTATTTTTCATTTTTGGAAACTTAAGCATGGAATTTTATGGACTTTCAGTGGATCTATAGGGAATGGAAATGTCAGTAAACCGTTAGTAAACCAAAGCAGGGAATGAGAGATGCAGTAAGAATGGGACACAGGAAAGCTTCTGCTCCTTTACTTTATTCATCGGATCCCTAGGTTTATTGATCCGGAATTTGACCAAATCAAAACCAGTAGATTCTGGCTTTATTCTCTTTACAAGGTAAAATCCACCGGAAAACCAGTAGATTCTGGCTTTATTCTTTTTACAAGGTAAAATCCAATGGAAAACCAGTAGTTTCTGGCGTTATTCTCTTTACCAGGCAAAAAGGAAATCCAGTAGACTCTGGCGTAGATTCAGAAACTCGTAGATAGTAGATTCAGAAACTCGCAGAACTACATGAAGACCAGATTCAAATATTAAAAAATACAAATATAAAAAGAAATGAAAATTCCAAGTAGTTTCGCTATAATAGTTGAAAACTTCGGTGTGAAAACGTGTGAGTAATAGCCTTGTGATTGAACTAACCAAAGCAATATGTTTAGCGTTTTCTAAGAGATTCTCATCTCAACGAACTTTATTCAAAACGTTAGTTTACATCGTTAGCAAACCAATTTTGGCTTCATGGACTCAGCCTGGTGATTTCTGTGATTCCTTGTGATTTCTGTGATGTGATTCCTTTGCCTTGTGATTCCACAAATATTCACTATAAAACGCAAGTCTGATAATGCAATGGGATAGAATGATCAAAAAATACACATTCCTTTAAAGCTAGACTACGCAACACTCCGCACTGTCATTCTGGGGTTGTGGTACTATTACAGTATTTACGACTCGTCAATCTATCAACCAAAGCATCTATCACTCCATTTCCTTTCTAAGACGAAGAGATTAAAGTTTGCACGCAATAGATGAATTGTTTCCAGGGAACTAATTTCCAATGGAGCGGAAAAAAAAATTTACGACACTGGTTACATCTCAAGCGGTTTATTCTTGGGATCCGGAAAAAATGGAGGAAGAATTGAGGACACTGGTTACATCACGAGCACGATAATAATTGTAAGGAAAAGATATCAAGGGCGAGAGACTTTGAACCGAGAAAGATTGAAGAAAAAGATCACCATGAAAGACGAGAGTTCAATATTCTTAGAGATTAATGTTTTCAAAACGAACATGTTGCGGGCTGTGCATTGGCAGATGAATGGGTGGTGGTGGCTGGAGTGGTTGCTGTTGTCGCTGTGTCCGATGAATGGGATTCGATCGATTGTTTGCCCCGATTCTGTGAAGGCCAAGCGCCGATTCTGAAATGTGTGGTCATAGATCTCTATCTTGAAGTGGACTTATATTCTAAATGTCAACTCTTTACAACCTTGTCCTTTTCTTAATGCTTGTCCTTAAACCTGTTTCTAGTTTTTTCAACTTTTCCTCTGATTCTATAAGAAGGACTGCAAAAGTCATTGATTATCTTTAAAGCTTTAGATCATTTTTTTTGCATTTTGCTTTTTTTGACCTAGAGCTCTTTTTAATTTTAGATAAGGATTAAGAAGTATCAAAATTTGATAATTTCTGTGTTTTTTCAAATGTTACGACTTTTGAGCACCAAAACTCCGCCCGTTTTTCGTTTTTTAAATTTTTGTCCATTAAAGTTTTTCTTGCATGTAAAAATAGAAATTCTGACAACTGAAAAATTCGCCTGTCTGGAAAAAAGATATTACACTTCGAAATTTGTTAAACTCGAAGCTACAAGACCATGACGTGTGCATGACCTGTTCTTTTAAAGTGCATTCTATTCGATACCCATCCCCCTTTGGCACTCCAACTTTGAGCTCAAATATCTTAATGTTGGACTAGCCAACTTTCAACCCGATTTTAGTCTATTTTACTCTTCCAAGTGACTTTAATTGCAAAGACACAATTTCTTTGTAAAATTCGATAAAAACCTCTATAAAGGAATCGGTTGAACAGATATTCTCAAAATTCGGCCATAGTTGACATTGGCATTGAGATTGGCATTGACATTGACATTGACAATCATTGACAACAAAAGGTTTATGTAAATCAAAAACGCTTAAATTGGGTCTTCGGGCTGTCGCCTTTTCTTGACTATCCGACTTCATGCCTACATAAAAACTATAGAATATAAACTTTATAATACTAAACTAATGCTAAACTAAACTAATGATACTAAAAACAAATTTTCATAACATTTTTTGATTCTGTAGAAAAATAATAGGCCTTTCTAATGCAGCAAGCATCAGATTAATTGATTAATTGATTAATTGGGTTGATGGAAAAGTTCTTTCCGAAATTTGGGGAGTGTACCTGAAATTTGTCAAGTTTTGAGGTTTTATAGCTGATGCTAAAGCTGAATCCAATACAGATAGATGGGTACAAAAACCGCCTTGAGAAATCTCTTTTCTAAAAGATTTTACAGCTATTTTAGTTAAGTAAAGGGCAGCAGAGCCAAAAAAATGGATGTTTTCACGTTTTCAAAAAATGCTTTTCGTTAGTTTTCCGTGCGAATTTGTTTCTCATTTCTAAATGCTAGTGGAATAATTTATATCTTTTATAAATAAATCGTTTATAGATAAATCATTTATATAAATACTTTATTCAGAAAATAAAGTGCGAAAACGCATCGCGCAAACGGTTTCTTTTTGAGCTCAAACGAAGAGCGCAAACGGTTTGTTTTTGAAGAACGAGAGATCCGAAAATAAGAGAATATTTTGGCAGAGCCGATTTTGGATGAACTATTGGCAGAGCCGTTGGCAGAAATAGCCTCGTCTCCTTCCCCCCTGGGCAAGCAGATGTCAAATAATCAATCGGTAGCGATATCAAAGAAAAGATCATTCATTCTCTTCATTTCTCACTTTAAAAATCTGCTCTCTTTACCTATTTTTCAAAATTGCTCAATTTCCCATTTTCCATTCAATTTTCCATTCAGGAATGTTCCCATTCATCCTTAAGAAATCAAAGGATGAATGCGAACATTCCTTGCACGCAAGGAATATTCCCATTCATCCTTTGATTCCTTATTTGAGCCTCCCGCATCAAGATCTAAAATTGAATGAATTAGGGATGTGGCATTCATAAAAATGTATAGCTGTATGCTTGACGAGGTCAACATTTGGTCGCACGTATTTTTTCTGCCAACAAACCCAATCAATAATTCAAAATAGCTCAATTTCCCATTTTCCATTCAATTATTGTGAACTATTGGCAGAGCCGTTGGCAGAAATAACCTCTTCAAAATCTGCTCTCTTTCCCTATTTTTCAAAATTGCTCAATTTCCCATTTTCAATTTCCCATTCGTGCAAGGAATGTTCCCATTCATCCTTTGAGTTCTTAATGGAGCTTCCAGCATCAAGATCTAAAATTGAATGAATTAGGGATGTGGCATTCATAAAAATGTGATCGCTGTATGCTTGACGAGGTCAACATTTGGTCGCACGTATTTTTTTCTGCCAACAACCCAATCGATTAGGCAAAATTGCTCAATTAACCATTTTCTATTCAATTATTGTTCTCTTTTGAACTATTGGCAGAGCCGTTGGCAGAAATAGCCTCTTCTCCCCACCCCCTGGGCAAGCAGATGTCACGTTAGTCGAATTAAGGTCAAGATTCAATGAAATTGGTCCAAGAAGAGAAATTATCGAGCGAACACAAAGAGTGGAACCACAACATCTCGGTCTAGCAATGATACATCAAGTGAGATCAGGTGAGAAGAAATATGATTTAACAAACAAATCATATACCTTTATCTATCTTGATGTCTACCACTACCAGCTAGCCGCTCACAGTTTGTTTCCGGTAGAGCCTTTGTGACGAGATTTACTAGTATAAAAGAATCAAGAATTTATTAAGAACACGTCTTATATCCTGGTCTGCGTCTGGTTTAATTTAGATCAGCTTACAAGGGTTAGAAGATTTCTTATGCTTGCTATGAAAACAAACAGGAACGAAACAACTTGACTTGTGTGATTTTTCAAAAGCTGTTATTGTCTCAAAACTCGTTAAAGATTGCCAAATTCGTCCAGGTCTCCGCCTCGATTCGATCGATGATCGTCCAGTTCCGCTACATTTCGGGGTAATAAAGCTTTTCCTGAATTGTTAAATTCCAGATTTTTCCTGTGATAAAGCAAGATTCCGTTTCAGATGTACGAAGCGGGACAACGACCTCGAGTCTCGAGGAATCGGACAACAAGTGGTGCCTGCTTGTTGAAGAAAAAGAATCCGGAAGGGCTGATCTTTAAAGGGTCCTTTTTCCATTTCTCAATGAAATGCTAGCCATTTGACATTTATCATTTGAGAAAAACCAGCTTGTTTTTCAATTTGACTCAAAAATATTTGATTTTTTCGATCAAAAGGTTCAAATGTTTATTATGGTAGTTTTCAAAAACACACACTTAACTAAAATATTGTAAAAAGGAGCTCTAGGTCAAAAAAAGCAAAATGCAAAAAAAATAATCAATGACTTTTGCAGTCCTTCTTATAGAATCAGAGGAAAAGTTGAAAAAACTACAGAAACAGGTTTAAGAACAGGCATTAAGAACAAAAGCTAGAAGAAAAGAACAAGGTTGTAAAGAGTTGACATTTAGAATATAAGTCCACTTCGAGATGGAGATCTATGACCACTCATTTCAGAATCGGTGCGTGGCCTTCACAATTCATCGCACAGAATCGGGGCAAACAATCGATCGAATCCCATTTATCGGACACCGCGACAACAGCAACCGCTCCAGCCATCGCCACCCATTCATCTGCCAATGCACAGCCCGGAACATGTTCGTTTTTGAAAACATTAATCTCTAATAATATTGAACTCTCGCCTTTCATGGTGATCTTTTTCTTCAATCTTTCTCGGTTCAAATTCTCTCGCCCTTGATATCTTTTATACGTTTTATAGCAATAAAGATCTTCTATTTGAAGCAAACTATTAATCAATTCATAAGCTTTTCATTTAAAAAACAGATTTATGACAAAGTGTCCAAAGAATTTTCGGCCAACTTTTTAGACTAACAAAAAGTCCCCAACCAATAGCAAACATTAGAACCGGGCTGTTGCTAGGCAGCCAGGTGAATCGCGGACTTCATCCTTGCACTTGAGATTAAAAGCTACAAAAATAAATGACCTCAAATGACGCCAAATGACGCCAAATGACACCAAATGGCCAAAAAACGTTGTACACATGATAGCAGATTCACCAAAGTGTTTATATCGCAAATCAAATTTTTTTTTTCAGAACTTTTCCCAATTTTTTTCGGGAAGGGGGGCAAAGCCCCCTCACTCCCATTATCGTTTGCGGGTCCTAATACTCAACTGCTCCTGGAGTTGGGCTATAGTTTCCCAAATTTTTCCAGGCCGTGGCGGCCACTTCTAGGGCCAAAAAAAGGCATTTTTTTTGGGATTTTTGTAGTTGTAAGATAGGGCGAGGTGGCGACTGGGCTTAAAAAAAAGCATTTTTTGTAAGATTTTGGCCCACCCACCCCAACTCCGTTGCAAAAAATGCTTTGCTTTTTCCCTTTTTTCTCTCTTTACTTTTCTTTTCTCTACTCATGGATTGTGAAAGTGAAAGTTTCCCGTACACTCACCTTATGAAAAAGAGGAAAAAGAGACAGACAAGTCCCATAAAAGTATGGAAAAGCAATTTAAAACTGAAAATTTTCAATTCAAGAAAGTGAAAAACTCGCATCGTTTTGATCAAGAAAAGAGAAGCTTTAGTTGAGAGAGAGATTTTCGAAAGCAAAATTATCGTATCGAGCGTGAAAATGAAATTAAAAAATCAAAACTAGATTTTATTAAAAAAAGATGATTCCAATGATCAATAGTTTAAAAAAGAAAAAACAAAAGTTAAAAATTTGATGTGCGGGGCAAAATTTGAAATGCTCGTTCATTTTTTTCCCGCTCCCCATTTTTTTTATAAAAAAACACATAAAAAGGGAAAAAAAGGGGAAATCATCGCTTTGAGAATTTATCGATCGATTGACGAATATTTGAAATGGGTAAGCAAAATGCTGGAAAGTGGGGTTTATTGGAGAAATGAATCGAAATTAGAAAATGGCTTAAAAGTTAAAACGTAAAATTACTGGGGAAACGTAGATTAGGGAATGAGGAAACGATATTCAATATATATTTATATTGAATATTTAAACATTTAAATCTTTAGAATATCTAAAATCTGAATATGGGTTTTTTCTTGTAAAACGGATGTGTGTAATGAATCGTCGAATGAATGGAAAAGAGATGGCGGAATCGATAAACGTTCCAATGGCACGATTAAGGAAGGGAAGGAAAGAAAAGGAAGGAAATAAAGAAAGGAAGGAAAGAAAGGAAAGGAAAGAAAGGAAAGGAAAGCAATGGAAAGGCTTTCATTTGAAGGGAAAGGGGGAAGTTTAACAAGAAACCCTCAATTGAAGAGTGAAGGTGCAAGGGTGAAGAGAAAAGGAAAGGGTTGTGTGTCAGTCATTCACTCAGCCAGAGACTGGTTTTTGCCAACGAATCTTGCCAGACAGCTTTTTCTTGCTTTTCGTGAACGATTTTCTTGGCGTCGAACAAGCGAATCGTTTATGAGCGAGAACACCTATGGAAGAGAATCGATTTAGAGTTCACATCGAAAGGAAATCGATATCAGAAATGTCAGTATTATCTATTCTCTATTCGATTTCTTGGCAATCTTTCATCATGGACAATCAATCTAGCATTTCAATTCAACTATTGCGGTTAAATTGAACTATTGATATTGAACAAACATATCATAAAGAACCAGAAGAGACCGTTAAATGTAAGTTTAGATACGTTTAACATGTATATAATGACTAGAAATAAAAGCAGAGCATTATATCTTTAAACATTTCAAATTCTGAATTCTGACTACTTTAGCAACTTCAGCAAATTGATTTCTTCAGATTTCAGTAAAGCTTTGATTTGTTCAGTTTGTTCAGTAAAGCTTTGATTTCTTCAGCCGATCTTTAATTTGTTCAGCAAAGCTTTGACTTTTTCAGTAAAGCTTAGATTTGTCCAGCAAAGCTTTGATTTGTTCAGTTTGTTCAGTAAAGCTTTGACTTGTTCAGCCGAGCTTTGATTTGTTCAGGTTGTTTAGTAAAGCATTGATTTGTTCAGCAAAGCTTTGATTTGTTGAGTTTGTTCAGTTTGTTTGTTGTTCTGCAGAGCTTTGACTTGTTGAGTAAAGCTTTGATTTGTTCAGCAAAGCTTTAATTTGTTCATTTCATTCAGTAAAGCTTTGACTGGTCAAGCAAAGCTTTGATTTGCTGAGTTTGTTCAGCAAAGCTTTGTTTTGTTTAGCAAAGCTTTGATTTGTTCAGTTTGTTCAGTAAAGCTGTGATTTGTTCTGCAAAGCTTTAATTTTTCAGTTTATTCGGTAAAGCTTTGATCTGTTCAGCAAGGTTTGATTTGTTCAGTTTGTTCAGTAAAGCTTTTGCTTGTTCAGCAGAGCTTTGACTTGTTCAGCCAAGCTTTGATTTATTCAGTTTGTTCAGTAAAGCTTTGATCTGTTCAGCAGAGCTTTGACTTGTTCAGCCAAGCTTTGATTTGTTCAGTTTGTTCAGTAAAGCGTTGATTTGTTCAACAAAGCTTTGATTTGTTCAGTTTGTTCAGCAAAGCTTTAATTTGTTTAGCAAGGTTTGATTTGTTCAATTTGTTCATTAAACCTTTGACTTGTTCAGCCAAGCTTGGATTTGTTCAGCAAAGCTTTGATTTGTTTAGCAAAGCTTTGATTTGTTCAGTTTGTTCAGCAAAGCTTTAATTTGTTTAGCAAGGTTTGATTTGTTTGTTCATTAAACCTTTGACTTGTTCAGCCAAGCTTGGATTTGTTCAGTTTGTTCAGTAAAGCTTTGATTTGTTCAGCCGATCTTTGATTTGTTCAATAAAGCTTAGATTTGTTCAGCAAAGCTTTGATTTGTTTAGCAAAGCTTGATTTGTTCAGTTTGTTCAGTAAAGCTTTGATTTGTTCTGCAAAGCTTTGATTTTTCAGTTTGTTCGGTAAAGCTTTGTTCTGTTCAGCAAGGTTTGATTTGTTCAGTTTGTTCAGTAAAGCTTTTGCTTGTTCAGCAGAGCTTTGACTTGTCCAGCCAAGCTTTGATTTGTTCAGGTTGTTCAGTAAAGCTTTGATTTGTTCAGCAAAGCTTTGATTTGTTCAGTAAAGCTTTGATTTGTTCAGCCGATCTTTGATTTGTTCAGCAGAGCTTTGACTTGTTCAGTAAAGCTTTGATTTATTTAGCAGAGGTTTGACTTGTTCAACCAAGCTTTGATTTGTCCAGTTTGTTCAGTAAAGCTTTGATTTGTTTAGCAAAGCTTTGACTTGTTCAGCCAAGCTTTGATTTGTTCAGTTTGTTGCGTAAAGATTTGATTTGTTCAGCAGAGTTTTGACTTGTTCAGCAGAGCTTTGACTTTTTCAGTAAAGCTTAGATTTGACCCGCAAAGCTTTGATTTGTTTAGCAAAGCTTTTTTTTGTTCAGTTTGTTCAGTAAAGCTTTCATTTGTTCAGCCGGTCTTTGATTTGTTCAGCAGAGCTTTGACTTGTTCAGTAAAGCTTAGATTTGTTCATCCGAGCTTTGATTTGTTCAGTTTGTTCAGTAAAGCTTTGACTTGTTCAGCAGAGCTTTGACTT